AGAGCTGAACAGTGGATATAGGAAAAAGATATAGAGGAGAAGGGAAATGAATTAGTAAAAGCAAGGAAATGGCACCAAAGAAATAGTCCAGTGCTTTTGAAATTGTGACAGGGTGCGTATAACATGCTGTCATTGTTGTTATGGGGATTTTGTTTTCCTTACAAGAATGGGAACATACTATAAGCCCTGTTCTGCAACTTGCTTTTTTCATATAATAATAAATCTTGGAGGTCTTTCCATGCCCGTATATTAAGATAAATCTTTTTCTTTTGATCTGCTACAGAGTAATCCATAATATGGATGGATCATGAAGGAAAAGCTGTTCCTTAGTGATGGACATTCAGGTTGTTTTAATTTTTCGCTATTACAAACAATGCTGCAATGAATATCTTTGTATATGTCTGGAAGTAGTTTTGAAGGATAGGTTCCCAAACATTGAATTGCTGGGCCAAAGGAATGAACATTTTGTTTAAAAATGTAGATAAAAAGTTATTTCTTTTGCTTTTACACTTTTACAGACTAAATACAAATAGAGTATTCCTGCTAATATAATCCAGTTTTTATCTTGAGAAGCATACGTCATGCAAGCTTTTCATTAAGAGTTGGTTAAGCCCGGCTGGTGTAGCTCAGTGGTTGAGCGTTTTCCCATGAACCAAGAGGTCACAGTTCAATTTCTGGTCAGGGCACATGCCTTGGCTGCAGCTCAATCCCCAGTGGCAGTGGGGGGAGGGGGTGTGCTCTCTCATCATTGATGTTTCTATCTTTCTCTCCCTCTCCCTTCCTCTCTCAAAATCAATAGAAAAACATTTTTTTTTAAATTAAAAAGAGTTGGTTGAGAATGCTATCCTATAAGGGTATATGATAAAGTATGGCTTAGAGTTGCAGTTGGAATTGAGGTATTTTAGGAAAGGCCTCTCTCTGCTAGCCAAATTTGGGTCCATACAGTAGTAAAACCTTAGAGAAATCTAGCTTTAAGACATGGTTCCTAGCTTGGAAGTATATGACATTTAAGATTTTGGTAGCAGCTAATAAAATTGTCCCATTAAAACAATGGTACCAGTTTGCATTCCAATCAAGGTAAGTGAGAAGTTCTGTTTCCTCACAACCCTTTCAATATTTTAAATTTTAGCCCTTCCAAATTAATGCTTCATTGTTGTTTTAGTTACATTTCTTTGGCTTTAGTAAGCTTGAACATTCTTTCTCATTCATTAGCTAATTGTCTATTTCTTCCCTGAATTTTCAAATCATGTTATTTCTCCATTTTAAATGAGTTCCACACCTTTTTTCTTATTGATTTCCAGGAGACACTTATAGATGCAGACAGATAGGAACCTTTGCCTGATATCTATGTAACAAATACTTTCTCCTAGCCTGTTGTTCATGTTTCAACTTTGTATATAACATCCTTCTCCACACAGAAGTTCTTAACCTTAATGTAGTTGAAATTACTGCTCTTCACTTTATGGCTTATGGGTTTTTAAGTCATGCTCAGAAAGGCTTTTCTACCCTGATACTAAATATTCTGATAGATCTCAGAGGGAAATGGGGTGTGTGTGTGTGTGGGGGGGGGGGGGGGCGGGAAGAGATTAACCTAAGAATTTATATGCATATTTGCATAGCCCAGGGACACAAACAATAGTGCGGTGAATGCCTGGGGTAAGGGGGTGGGGTGGCGGCCGGGTGGAGTTAACAATAAAAATAAAATTTTTTTAAAAAAAGAACACATGGAGGCAAAAAATAAAATCCCTACATTGACAAAATGTGAAAAAAAATCTGGATTTTCCTTTGGCAGTTTTACAGCTTTATTTTTTGTATTTGTTTATGTATGAGGTAAGGGTTTAATTTAATTTTTTCCAAGTGGTAGCCAATAATCCCATCCCATTTACTGACTCATCCCACTGATTTGAAATGTGTTCTTTATCCTAAATTAAATTCCCATATGAACATTTGGATTTGTTTCTAAACTCTCTATTTTGTTCCATTTATGTATTCTGTTTCTGTGAAGATATATTTCTAATTACTGCAGTTTTATGGTAAATTTTTTGTATCAACTAGGGCAAGTGCCCCCTCATTGTTCTTTTTAAAAACTTTTCTTAGTAATTCATGGGCATTTACTCTTCCAAATGAACTTCAAAATCCAATTGCCCAATTCTCAAAGAAAATACCACTGAAATTTGAATGAGAAATGCATTGAACCTTTTGACCAAATTGGGGGGAAAATGTGATTTTTACCGTGTTGAATCTTTCCATCCAGGAATAGGATAGGACTCTTGTTTTATTCAAGTTTCCTTACAGCCTTTGATGAAATTTTATAGTTTTGTGGGTTGTTTTTTTTTTTTGGTGTTTTTTTTTTTTTGGTGTATGTGTGAAATTTTATAGTTTTCTATAGAAAACTATTTCACATTTCTTGTAAATTCTTAGGGATTTTATAAATTTTTTTGCTATTGTAAATGAAATCTTTTTCTATTATGTCTTCTAATTAGTTATTGTTAGTATTCAGAGAAGCGGTTTAGGTGTATGTTTATCCTGTATCTACCCATCTCACCGAATTTTCCTATTAGTTATAATAATTTTTTGCTTTATTCTGTTTATCTAAGTTGACGCCCATATGATCTTCAAATCACGATAACTCTGTTTCTAATATTTATACCACTTATTGTTTAAAAATCCCATTGGTTTAACTTCCAGAAAAACAATGGCTAATGACAGTTATAGCAGTCATCCTTATTTTGTTCCTGAATTTAATGGAAATTTACCTAGTACTTCCCTGTTACATTTGATGATTGTCTTTGGTTTCTGACAAAAATTCTTTACCAAGTTAAGGAAGTTTTAACTGATTCCTAGCTTACTGTACTAGTTATCTATTACTGTGTAACAAATTACCCCAATACAGCAAGATAACTAAGACACTAAGAGTTTTTAAATCAAGAATGAATATGTAGGTCAATGGGGGGAAAAGGAGACATGTGTAACACTTTAATCAATGAAGAATAAATAAATAAATAAATAAATAAAGGAAGGAAGGAAGGAAGGAAGGAAGGAATATGTAATTTTACCAGATGATTTTTCCCAGCATTTATGGAGATAGTTATAGGATCTTCCCTCTTGAATCTATTAATGCAATTAATTACAATAACATCTTGCCCAATGTTGAACAATCCCTGCACTTCTAGGACAAGCCTTCCTTTGTCATGACACATTCTTTTTTTAATACACTGATGGATTCAGTTTGATAATTAAAATATTTGTTACTCTATTAATATGTGAGATTAGACTATAGTTTTCCTCTTTTTGTCTAAACCTGTCCAATTATACTAGCCTTCTATTTATTTTTATTTGTTTATTATTTTTATATCCTATATAATAAAAGCCTAATATGCTAAGTGTCCAGTTGACCAGTAGGCCATTCAACCAATCAAAGTGTAATGTGCTAATGATATGTTAAGGCTGCTCAACCACTCACTATGATGTGCACTGACCACCAGGGGGCAGATGCTCTGACTTGTAGGTTAGCTTGCTGCTGGGGTCCGGCCGATTGGGACTGAGTAAGATGGGCCAGACACACCCTGGAGCCTTCCTGCATTCCCTCACTGGCTGGCCAACCTCCCGCGTCCCTCTCTGGCCCGATCGTGCACCCATGGGGTCCCTCGGCCTGGCCTGCACCCTCTCGCAATCCGGGACCCCTCGGGGGATATCAGAGAGCCAGTTCAGGCTCCATCCCACAGGCCAGGCCGAGGGGCCCCACTGGTGCACGAATTCATGCACTGGGCCTCTAGTGTGTGTGTGTATATGTGTATACATATATACATACACACACACACACACACACACACACACACACACACATCCTTCTGGAATGAACTGGGAAGCTGTCAGTCTTTTCCTATTATCATTGAATCATTCAAGATTCTATAGAACTTCCATACCAATTGGGCCTGGTACTATTTCTGAGGAGAAAACTTCTTTTTGGCCATCTTTTAAACTTATTCTATTCTGCTCAGGTTTTCTGCCACTTCTTAAGTCATTTGGTAATTTATATTTTCCTACAATACCACCCATTTCATCTAGATTTTCACATTTACTGGCATAAAATTATACAAAGCATTTTCTTATGACATTTATTGTCTCCTCAGAATCTGTGGTTAAATTGCTTTTATGTTTTCTTGCCTTTCCTCAAACATATCTGCAGAGGACAATCTGTCCAGTTTACTGGCCTTTTCAAAACCTACCTCTTAGTCAATCAAATCTTTTGTTTTCTATTTCACTAATTTCTGGTTTTTATCTACAGTAATTATTTTATTCTGCTTTCGCTTGGTTGTTCTTTTTCTACATTCTTGAGTGGAATAATTAGTTCATTCAATTTAAACTGTCTTGTTCTCTGGTAAAAACATTTAAGACCACACATTTTCCTCCGGGAACCCCATAGTCGTATCCCATAGGCCTTGATATATAGTATTCTCATTGGCATTTATTCTAAATAGTCCATAAATTCCCTTCTTCTTTACTCTTTAACATAATTATTTTTAAACTTTCAAATGGGCCTAGCCTTTTTGCCATTGCTATTAATATCTCATTTTATTGCATTATAATTAGAAAATGTAAAATGTGTTTTCCAATTAACTTGGAAATAATGTTCTACCAAGGTGTGGGCAGATTGTTCCCTCTGCCTAAATACCCTTCCCTATCTTATCCAAATGGCAAACTCTTACTCATCCTTTGAAAACAGTTCAAATGTTATATATTCTAGGGCCAAACACTCCCGCTTTTGGTGACAGGTATCTAGGGAAGAATTTTTAAGGCAGGACAAACTATAAACAGGTGCTGAATGTCCTCTTTGGTCTCCTAACCTGGTCCCCCAATCATTCTCCTCACACGCGCTCTGCCACCCATGCCACAGTCACTCCAGGGGCTAGAGGGAGATAAGGGGAGGGTGTGGCAATGTTTTTGCCTATTTGTCTGCACCGGTGAAGGATTGGGGGAGGGATGGGTCTAGCTCTTACCTGCTCTCTGCCAGCCTGCCTGAGGGGGTAAGCTTCATGGAGTCAAGGACCTGAGTAGGACAGCAATACTGGTGTAGAGTGTGAGACGCTGTGGACCTGAGAGACAGCAAGAGACAGAGAAAGAGAGACAGAGAGAGACAAGGGAGGGTGGGGGAGAGGCAGGGTGGGGAATGGGGACAGTGAGGTGAGTGAGTGGGGGAGGGGGAAAGGGAAGATGAGAGGCATGGGTGATGGAGGATAGGGGATGGAAGAGGAAGGGTGCGAGGCAGGGAGGCAAGAAGGAGGAAAGGAGGGAGGAAACGGAGAAAGGGAGGGAAATAAGGAAGGAAGGAAGGAAGGAAGGAAGGAAGGAAGGAAGGAAGGAAGGAAGGAAGAAAAAAAGAAAAAACCACAAAGTCAAGAAAGAGAGGACGGCACTCGAACCACAAACAGAACACAACGACAACAGGGGGCAGCAGAGACAAAAGAGCCGGGCTGGGCCTCCTGTGTTCCAGGTGACTCCGTGGGGACCTTGGCCACGGAGACACTGGCACACCACAGCAGGGAAGGGGGAAGGGAGCCCTCCTCACACCAGACGCCACACGAGTAGGAAAGAGGGGGAGGGGGAGGGGGGATGAAAGAGAAAGGCAAAATATGTAGGGGGGGCTCCCCCTTATAGGGTACTCCTCACGATAAGGGGAGGGATAGAGAGAGGAGGAGCTCTGGGTCCAAAGGGGGAAGAGCCCAGGCCGGAAGGGAGGAAGGAAGGAAGGAAGGAAGGAAGGAAGGAAGAAAAAAAGAAAAAACCACAAAGTCAAGAAAGAGAGGACGGCACTCGAACCACAAACAGAACACAACGACAACAGGGGGCAGCAGAGACAAAAGAGCCGGGCTGGGCCTCCTGTGTTCCAGGTGACTCCGTGGGGACCTTGGCCACGGAGACACTGGCACACCACAGCAGGGAAGGGGGAAGGGAGCCCTCCTCACACCAGACGCCACACGAGTAGGAAAGAGGGGGAGGGGGAGGGGGGATGAAAGAGAAAGGCAAAATATGTAGGGGGGGCTCCCCCTTATAGGGTACTCCTCACGATAAGGGGAGGGATAGAGAGAGGAGGAGCTCTGGGTCCAAAGGGGGAAGAGCCCAGGCCAGGTGGGTGGAGGAAACACTGTAGGAGGAGAGGGAGAAAGACAGCCAGAAACCGAAAGAGACAAGGAAAGGGTGAGACAGAACTGGAGAAAGACAGAGAAAGAGGAAGACAGAGAAAGGGCGAGACAAAGGACACAGAGAGAAGACAGGGAGAGGCAGAGAGTGCCAGAGGAGAGGAGAGGAGAGGGCGGAGGAGAGCTGACAAGGTCTCAGTGGTCTTGGTGACAGGATGGGACTAGGGGGTGAGCGGGCGAGTGGGGCCCAGCTAGCCAGAGGACAGGCTAGTTCCAAGGAGCAGAAGTCTTAGCTTCCCAGGCCAGTGCTGCACCCCCAGCCCTAGGCAGGGCCCACACTCCGCCCCCCAGCACTGTGTCCCCACCCCTACAGCAGGGTTCAAAGGCCCCTCTGCCTCCTGCTTCCCATGATTAAAGTCCAGGGAATGAAAAGAGAGGAGTGGTGAGGCTGAGGGTCTGGCCCCGCCCCTACCCAGCATGGGGCAGATGCTGGTAGTGGAGCTGGCCCTTCCTGGTCAGCCAGCCCCTGCCCCCCATAAGCCCCTGGAGGCTGCTTGTGGTCAGGGCCTGGCATTCAAGAGCCCAAATAAAGGCCTGAAGATGTGGCTGCAGGCTAGGCCAGCTGCCCACTACCTCACTTGCTGCACATTGGAGGATACCCAAATCTTAGAACCTTTAGAATCTTGGAATTTGAGACTCTTCTTATCAGAGACTCTGAATCATCGCCAGCACCAGAATGACAGTCTCAACTGCTACCCATGTGCCAGTCACCCGCCCAAGTCCTTATCTCCTTAATCCTGAGACTCAGAGACTCTTCAGCTGCTGGAATGTTGCTATCAACGAATCTCAGCAGTTATCTGGAGCCCTGCAGTGCTGGGCCAGGCTAGCACCCCAGATCAACTACCAATCACACCCCTCCCGGCCACAGACTGCGCTGCTTGGGCCTCCAGGGTCTTTACGGTGCTGGGCACCCTGATGTCCATGGGCTTACCCACTGGAGCTGGCTCCCTCCCCCAAGCCAAAGGCCTCCAAGAGTCCAAGAGGGAAGCCAGGAACCAGGAAGCCAGGAGGCTGCTGAATCAGCAGCCCAGGAACCAGGTCCAGGCCTGAGCAGGAAGGGACGGCGTCAGGCTGCAGGGGTGGCGGGGACCCAGGTTCCTACCTGCTACTCCTCCCGGGGGGCTCCATGGATCCGGACCTGTCCGGAGGGCAGGCCCCCTGGCCCTGGGCGGTGCCTCCACCGTGTCACCAAACCCTCCTCCCCAGCCCTTCCCTAGAAGGAGGAACCAAAGAGGCGGGGCCAGGCCAGCTGGGCTGTAGGCCAGACTGCAACTGGAAACTTTGCTCCTTCCCTTGCTCCCCCAGGAGGGCTGGGAAGTCCTGGTAAGAGGAAGCAGGTTTGCGAGCCCGCAGTGGCTCCGATGGGCCAAACCCCAGGCTGGGCTCCCTATGTGCACCTCCACCCAAGCACCCTGTCAAGTATGTGTCAACAGTACTGTTCTGAAGACAAAATGGAGATGGCAACACGGCACAGGTCACACAGCCAGGAGGTGGCAGAACCCCAAGATCAGGACCTGGTTTGGCCATTTCCAAACCTGGAATCTGTCCCTTCAGCCATATCGCTGCCTTGTGAACACAGCAACCTTTCCATACAGGCCTTTTCCCACACCCTCATCTTGAGCACAGCTAAAGAGACCATTTGGTTGTTCTAGGATGCTCCGGATCACGTAAAATTCAAACCACTCATTTTGGGAAATCGGACTGGCCCTGGCCAATATTCTTGAGCACTGCAATAAGTCCTCACTCATTGGGTGTTGCTTTCTGGGCTGGCTGAGAGAAAAGCTCCCTGCAAAGAAGGACAAAAATCAGAAGAAATGCCCTTCACAATCAAGAGGCTGTTTTTCCAAGGAAGTGGCCCCACCTGGTCTGGGAAGAGGAAGAAAGAGTCTTACTGACGTTCCCACAGCTGGGCAGACTAGAACCTAGGCCAGTGATGGCGAACCTATGACACGCGTGTCAGAGGTGAAATGCGAACTCATTTTTTTGGTTGATTTTTCTTTGTTAAATGGCATTTAAATATATAAAATAAATATCAAAAATATAAATCTTGGTTTTACTATGGTTGCAAATATTAAAAAATTTCTATATGTGACACGGCACCAGAGTTAAGTTAGGGTTTTTCAAAATGCTGACACGCCGAGCTCAAAAGGTTCGCCATCACTGGCCTAGGCCCTGACTCCCCAATTACCTACCACAGAATGGGCGGGGCTGGCCAAAAAAGAGAATGTGGAGGATTTGAAGGATGTGGGGCTCCTGAGCAGCACCCCAGATCCAGCTCAGAGCATCCCTGTCCTTTCACTGCCCCAGAGCCCAGGCCCCTGGCTGTTCTGAGCAGAAGGCAGCCCTGGGAGGGGCCAGGGGGCCAGTGATCTAGAAGGAATAGGAGCTGACAGGCAACAGGCCAGCCTTCCTGCCTCCCTGCTGGGGCAGCTGGTTCCTCTCAAGAAAGCCAAAGCTGCTGAGAGAGATAGGCCCTCCAAACCACCACAAAGTTGGCATTTATAGGCCCTTTGTGGCCTCCTCTGTCCACCCCTAAAGATCCTTGGTTCTCTGGACTCAGTGTCTGTTCTTTTCTCTCTCCTTCAGCAACTCTAGTTCCTGACGTAGCTGCACCTGGTGCCCATTTGCAGTTACTGTGCTAAGAGCTGCACCTCTGGCCCAACCCGCCTCTTGGCCTGGCAGGAGCTGAGAGAAAGATATTCAAGTCCTGGCCCTAAAGCTGATGCTGTGTGACCTTGGGCAAGTCCCTTCCCCTCTCTGGTGAGGCCAAGAGCCTTCATTTTGGTGCCTGGGAGAGCTGAGTACAAGTCCCAGGTCAACCACTTTTCAGCTGGTAACCCCTCTGAGGCTCAATTTATCCTATATAAAAAGAGTCTAATATGCTAAGTGTCTGACAGTTCGTTCGATCGTTCAACCAGTTGCTATGACGTGCACTGACCACCAGGGAGTAGATGCTCCAACCTGTAGGTTAGCTTGATGTTGGGGTCTGGCTGATCAGGACTGGGCAAGACGGGTCAGACATGCACTGGACGAATCCGTGCACCTGGCTGGTTTCGGCCCAATCCCTGCAGGCCAGGCTGAGAGACTCCACCGGTGCACGAATCCATGCACTGGGCCCCTATTTCATCTATAAAAGACAAGTGGCTATTTCTGCCTCACGGGTTCTTGTGATATGAATTAGCACATGAGGGAGTAACTCAGCTCAAGCCTTAGACTGACCCTTCTCCCAGAGACACCAGAGAGACCCATGGGAAGGCTGTTTGTTTCGGGGGTGGGACAATGGCTGGGGAAATCTCTCTTAATCCAGGCCACTGTTGGAATTCAGACTATGTGAACATGTTGGGTAGACTCATGTGATGACCCACCAGAGACTGAAGGGAAGAAGGAATTACGGGTGAGGACATTGACCTGGCCACGGGGCACTGGCCAGGCCTTCATTCACTTGTTCACAGAGCCTGCGGACCAGGCACTGGGCTGGGGGCTGGACAAGCAGTGACTAAGGGTAGTCAGTGTCCTGATCTCATGGAGCTTATATTCGAGTGAGAGGAAACAGATGTTCAACAACTAATGGAGTTAAGCTGGGCAAAAGCGGAGGTAGCAGGAGAGAATGTTCCAGGCCGAGGAAACAACTTGGGCAAAGGACCTGAGGGGGTATTTCCAGGAACTGCAAAGAGGCCAAAGGGGCTGAATGGAAAAAGCAAAGAGAAGAGAGGTGAGACTAGAGATGTGGGCAAGGGCCCGATCGTGCAGGAGACCACAGTAAAGTTTTAGTATGTATGTCAAGAACAGTTTGGCAGCCTGTGGTTCATGGAGAGGCATACAGGGTGTCCCAGAAGCCCCTGAAGCTGTATGACAAATATTAATGCGTAACAGCATGTTTCCAGGGAGAGCATAGCTTTCATCAGATCCCAGATGGGTTTGTGATCCCAAAAGAATAGAGAAGCTCTTTCTATGAGAACATTCAAAAGTGCCTAAGCTGAGCAACTGCAAGGCATCCTAGAACCTTCTGTGAGCTGGCCCCTACCTCCCATCTCCAGCTAGTCTCAGCCTTCCCCCATCTTCACCCTGTGCTTCACCCAGACAGGAGTGCTTGCAATTCTCTGTCACTCTGCTGTCAGCCTATCCTTGCCTGTGCCTTCCCTCCACTCAAAAGCCCCTTCCCCACCATCCTCTTTCCTTCCCCCATGTTCTCAGACGTTGTGGTCCTCTGGGAATTTGCTCTGACCCCTCCCCTGTGTCCTTCCCACCCTGTACTTCTCTCAGCACTGTCTGTTGCCTCTTCTGGGTCAGGAGCTCTGTCTTATTCATCTCAGTGTCCCCATCGTTTAACACAAGGCACCCAGACACACAAGTCAGTAAGGTGTTGGTAGGAGACACAATCCACAGAGATGGAGGCTGCAAGATGGGCTTGTGGACACTAGAGGGCACTGTGGCCTCTGGAATCCATGCCTGACGCTGGCCAGGCGGGGCTCTAGGGCCTGGTATGCAAACTTCCTGTCTCCAGGAACCCTGAAGGTGGAAACTGCTCTTGGGTTCTGCTGCTCCTCAGCTCTGGGCCTCATTGATCAGGGTCCCCGTTCCAGCCCCGATTCACTTTCTTCTCCCTTTCCACACCACTTGTCAGGGCAGGGCCATCCCACTGCACACACAGCCTTTGTAATTCACAAACGCAATGCCAAGTACCCCTCCCACAGCCCCAGCATACATTTTTTGCTCTGTCTGCAACCCTGGCCACTTCACCTCACCCCACCCCCACAGCTCACCTGGCTAACTTCTACTCATCTTCCAACTCTCAGCTTAGATGTCAGCTTGGAGAAACCGCCCTGACCCTCAGGCTGGGTTGGGTATATTTCCGAGGTGCTCCCACAGCATCCTGCCCTTCCCTGTAATTGTCTGTAATTGTCTGTTTCCTCGCCTGTTTCCCTACAAGACAGTGAGTTTCCTCAGAGGAGGACTCTGGACTCTGTTATTACTCATCATTGTGACCAACTGCGTTTAATTTAGCACATTACTGCCTGGCACATCATCCTTAAGTGAATGATTGAATAAAGGGATGGATGAATGGATGGATGACCTCTAACAAGTGACTTTACCTCTCTAGTTTTCTTTCGTTCCCTATTCAGAAAGTGGATGTGATCGCCACGACTTAGTAGGGCGGCCAGGAAGATTAAAGATCATATGTGTTGAGTGCTAACAGGGCCTGACACATAGTAGACATTTCTGGAATCAAAACAATGTTAATATTTGGAATAGTGAAAAAAGGGAGGGAAGGAGACTCTGCCTGGAGCTGGGGATGATCTCACCCACTCGGGTTTACCATTTACTTGTGAAAGATGGTTTTAACAATAAGAAAAGTATCATTTTTTAATGTTCACTGTGTTTTCTTAGTTCATTTGTTTTGTTCTTTATTATTATTATTATTATTATTATTATTGATTTCAGAGAGGAAGGGAGAGAGAGAGAGAGAGATAGAAACATCAATGATGAGAATCATTGATCCGCTACCTCCTGCACGCCCCACACTGGGGATTGAGCCCGCAACCCGGGCATGTGCTTCGACCAGGAATCGAACTGTGTGACCTCCTTGTTCATAGATTGACATTCAACCACTGAGCAACACCAACCGGGCGAACAGAATCATTTTTACTAGAAATAATGACAGCATCTGCTATGGGACAGACCAGAAACAGGAGGCTCCCAAGGAGGAGGTGCGCAGCCTCTAGCCTCAGCCAGAGAATTTGAGGCCAGGGCCGAGGTCAGAGCTGCAGGCATTGCCCCAGCGTCTGGAGACCAGTCATTACAGGCACCGCTGGTTCCAAACTCTTTACTCATAGGTGAAAACTTGTCTAAGGGGTCATTAATTCCCTCTGTAATTAATGCAAAAACTGCAGGGTTTGTATTCATGGAAAACTAAGCTCAAGCATCAAGCTGATAATATTGATAATGTGCGCTTGTAATTATATACTGCAGGTAACTATAAATTCAGTCCCTGCACTAATAAAATATAAAAATTCCTGAAGCAACCAAGAACTTGGTAGCAGCTGTACCATGGGTAACATTATGCCCATCATTCTGAGGCTATGAAAATCACCACATACTGGGAGCCACAGTAATAAGGGGAAATTTTTTGGTGAAACAGGGTGTTCAGAAGCAAAAGCATGCTATGTGAAAGCGTAGTGAGCACAGATCTATTTGCATTACAGTAGGAACCCAAACCCTGATGAATGAGCAATCTTATATTGTGGGTGGGTCCCTGAGCTGACTGCTACCCAGGCTCCAATCTCACTGTGGAC